CGACTGGCCAAGGCGCTTCCAGGCAGGGTGCCGGGCTCAGGGAGGGGATGCAGCATCCTCTGATTCTTTCAGCCACCCTGGGCGGGAGGGGAACACAGCAGCCGCCAGACCGGACTTGTGGCTACACAGCTGCTCTGGTGCAGGGAAGCACACGCCGCTGGAGAGAGGGTGGGACTGGGCAAAGGATGGAAGTAGCCGCCGGTGCCCAGAGAGGGGATGCCCAGCTAGACACTTTGCCCCCATCCCTAGCTGAAGGCAGATGGAACCCGCCACTCACAGGAGGCGACCCATCTCAGCCACATGGGCTCAGGGGAGAAAGCCTGGCCTAGAGCCAGAGAATCACCCCTTGCAAGAGTGAGAAGCAGCTGGCCTGCAGCCCGAGGGGAGGTCCACTCCCAGCTCTGAAGCTGATAGGGACCCCCCACAACAACCCCCCAACTGCCTCCACCATCCCCCAGCCAGGCTGGCTCCAGTAAAGAATCAGATCCCGGTTCAGCAGAACCAGAGATTCACCCATCAGGAACTGGGAAAAGCCAAAGAATGCCCAGGGACAAATGCCTAGATGGGCCCATCTAGGCTCAATAGAGGAAGGATTTCTGGGGCATGATCAGCAGCTTCTTGGCCCCTGCAGGAGCCAGGGGCACCCACAGCATTAACACAAGTGGGGTGGTGAGATCCAGATGGGGTGTCTTTTCCACTGCCCCAGATCTTCACAGCCCCTTGGACAGCAGTGCTGTCATCTGAATGCCATGGTCTGAGCCTGGGCTGTTTGCCCCATCCCCATCTCCCCTTCACTGTCAGCCTCACTCCCACTGCCCAATATGCCCCCTCCCCCACCCTATGCATCTCAACAACCCCCCTCCTGCCACCCCGCTCACTTTGCCCCTCCTGAAAAATATAAAAGCCAAACCAGTAACAAAACCTGTAACTCACCAAGTGTGACAAACATCCCCATGCTCAAAAAGAACAGGAGTACTTGTGGCACCTTAGAGACTAACACATTTATTAGAGCATAAGCTTTCGTGGACTACAGCCCACTTCTTCGGATGCATATGTGTTCATATCCGAAGAAGTGGGCTGTAGTCCACGAAAGCTTATGCTCTAATAAATTTGTTAGTCTCTAAGGTGCCACAAGTACTCCTGTTCTTTTTGCGGATACAGACTAACACGGCTGCTACTCTAAATTCCCATGCTCCTTTACTTGTATGTTATAGCCCATCAGAAGAAAGCTTCAGGACTGGAGTTACATCCATTTTACTCCAGTGTAATGGAGCAGAACATCAGGCCTGTATTCACAAGCTTTACCAGTTCCTCCCACCCCACCCACTCAGAAAAAGGACTAGGTAATCAGACAGGCCTTGCTATTTTAGTGAGTCCTGAAGGCCAACAGACTCATGCCCTGTTGGATCAAGGGAAGAGAAAATTCCAGAGCAGTGACTTTCACTGAGAATGTCTGGCCTCTGGAAATACAAATCTAGATAGCGTCACCTTAGGCTTTCTAGAGACTCTCAGCTGAAAGTAGTTTTAGAGCTTTCTTAACATAATAGACTACAGGCAAGTCTTGTAATTCAAAGGTTTTGTCCTCAGAGAAGACAGTTTTCTTAACAAAACAGTTAGGCACAGATCATGCAAATAATTACACATGTCATGTGCTTAAGTTTATGCACATGGGACTACCTGCGTGTGGACCTACTCACATACATAAATTAAGCCCATGCAAAAACTGTCATTTTGGCATACACCAGGGATTGAACTGGGGCTTCCAGAGCTAAAAGCATGAACTCCTTCAGCTAAAGAGCCAGGCTCTGGATATGTGGGCTGTAGGAATATCTCATCATAGATGTATCAGACACAGAAGGGCACACTGACCAGTGGGTTATAGAAGTGTTTATAAACCTTAGATTGTAGGTATTTTGGTGGAAGGACCTTGCCTTTTACTTCCTTTAAATGCTTAGAACCCACCTAGTGCAACATAAATAATAAAATAATAAGGATTATTACAGCTGGTTGAAAAATTCCAAAATTTCAAGATTATGCAGGGTTTTTGCAAAAAATGTTTGCTATTTTACAATTAGCTCTAATAATAGTAATGATCAAATAAATAGTAATAAGTGCTAATAATAATAATGAATAGCTCTCTAGAGAAGGCCTTATGGGAGAGTATGTATCTTATACATAAGCTCCTTCGTTTTCAGTTTAAAACAATTTCTTGAAAAAATCCTGGGTTTTACAAAAAGTATTATTATTTTTTCCAATTTTCACCCTACTTTTGTATCATTCAGATATATAAAAATAACTTGTTTTATTAGGAAAATGCAATTGCATTACATTGCATGAAATATATGTATTATGATAATACATTAGTCTGTGTGTATATGCAAAGCTGCCTGTTGAAGTAAGGCCATGCATTCGTCTAGAA